TTTGGGTTAGGGTTAGAGTTTTTTATATTAAATAATCTTATAATCTTTATATATTCCCACCTATACTAAATAAGATCCGAATTAATAGCTTTGTTTACGTAGGCATTATAGCTAATTTGTGTGAAATATAATAATAGTCACATGATAGAGAGGACTCGTGACATATCCGATTTATTGGGAACTTGAACGATTATTGGGTCTAACAATGCTTAGGAATTGGCCTAAACTATATACCGTAATTTTCACCTAACCTTAACTCTAATTTAGGCCATAGTGTTAATCTAAGGCACAAAAAAAACAAGTACCATAGACACAATTCATAATACTATCATAATAGTATCGCTAAAGTAGTTTTCACAGGTAGACCGAAAATTCTTGGTATAATATGTAACCTTTTTAATATCTTCCAAACACTTTTCAACTTTTTAAAAGCGATGCGAGAAGAATTTAGATAACATAGAAAAGTTGTATATCATGCTAAATATTTTTTGAAGAATACTTGTAAAAAAAGGGTTATTATTCTACCTATGTTTATAAGTGTTAAATATAGGCCTATCGCTAAAACTATTATTCCTTCATGGCTGGTCTTACGATAACAATAAATAAAAAGTTTCTATATTAGTAAATAATATACATATATATAGAAAATATGATATCATTACGTATAATTTAATGATAAATCGTAGTCTATGAGATTCTTCAGTTTATTACAACCAATCATTACTCCACCATTATGTCGATCATTTTTATAAAAGTTTACTATATACGTAATAAAATATCCCATAATATATGGAGTGTTATACTGCATATAAAAATATATATAGTGAATCATATAAAGATAATACTTATTCATTTCATTTTTTTAAATGTCTGCCATAAATAATACCAATGTTGATAGAGAAAACACTACTACTTTAGACTATGACGGTGCAGCATATGATACCTATCGTCCAACGTTAGTTAATTTTTAAACAGATCAAAAAAGCAAAGGAAACTAAGTTATCAAATTAATATTCTTTTTTTTTTTTTTTTAACCTTAAAATTAGATATTCATCTCGCCTTTACACAAAAATTTACGCTTACCATACCTCACATTCCTCATTTTTTTCCACTGCATTAGACGTTGCAACTGGTACTGGCTATGTTGCCAGAGAACTGTCAAAAACTTTTCAACAAGTGCATGCTACTGACATCTCGCAAGAAATGCTTTCTTCCGCTTTCAGCTCTCCAAACATTCAATATTCGCTTAGTACAGCTGAAGACCTTTCTCAATTCCAAGATTCGACATTTGACTTAATAACAGTGGGCGAGGCGCTTCACTGGTTCGATAGTGTAAAGTTTTTTAAAGAGGCGTGGAGAGTTTTGAAACAAAATGGAACATTGGCAGTTTTTGGATATTCGTCCCACCATGTTGTTGAAGGATATCTAGCCGCCACGAATGAATTTAAAAAATTTAACGTAGAGATATTTGGTGACTATTGGGACCCTAGGAAGTTTTCGGTAGATAAATTGTATAGAGATATTGTGATTCCTGAAAAATTGTTCAAAAATATTACTTGGGAAAGGAATGAATATGATGAAAAGGATGGAAAAACGAGTAATTATGAAAGTTATTTAAACAAGGAATGGAGTGTTGAACGATTTAAAAACTATATGAAGGTGAGTTTAAATAATGTCGATATTTTTTTTAAATATATATATATTATATGTTTAAATATATATAATTTTTTTTACTAGACATGGTCCTCTTATAATAATTATATGTCCAGGTGTCAAAAAGAAAACCAGAAAATAGAAGATCCAGTTGACAAGTTGTTTGAGAAACTTAAGGAAGATGAGGGATGGAAAGATGACCAGATTTTAAAAATTTCTTGGTTTTTTGTTCTTGGCTTGGCTGAAAAAAATTAAAAATCCATAAAATGAGAATACTCTTTACTTAAATTCATATGTCTATAATTACAACGTTATTTTGTGTTGCTTTATATCTATCAATCTGTTTCTGCTATATACATCTATTAGTAATATTTTCAAACCTGATAACCCCTCAAAACTGATATAAAACCTGTTCCCCATGTATATTAGATTAGAGAGATTCGACAGTACTATTCAATTGCTATGGTACTTCAACAGTAATCCCGTATCTATTTGATATACTTATTCAGTATTAATTTATTATATAACCTTATTATTCTGTATATATATATTATATTTCGTATATTATCTGTACATAGTGAAAACATATATATCCAACTATTTCATTCATCTTGATATAATGTAGTACCTAAAAAATATGTATCATTTTGATACAGAATTAATACTTAATTAATATATTGAATAGATACAGAATTGCCGTTGCTACAGATTTAATGCTTAATTAATATATTGAATAGATACAGAATTATTGTCATTTTAGAATTAATACTTATATTAAATATAGGGGATTGGTATTTCCACACCCTTTTTGATATTGCCACACCCTGTGATCACTAACACATGTACGTTGTGAGAGGTGGCCGAATCGCCTTAGTCTTTTTTTTATATATATGTTTATTATTATTATTATTATATTATTTTATTATTTTCTTTTTGTTGTCTTTTCCTTTTTCGGGGGTCGCTTAAAGCCAGGTACATCACGAAATTTCCCGATGATCGACGATCATCGGACAATCACGGGATACGTGTTTGTTTACATTTTGGTATTAACAGTTAATGTTGGTG